CCATAGGCAGGAATTGCAAGGTTGTCTGAGTTAGTAAGTCAGTCTGGGTCTTGGAGTCAGTCCAAATGGCCTCCCACAGTGCACTGAGCCCTGGAAAAAGGTCTTGCAGGCACGAGGATGATGACTGGAGAAGCTCCATGGTGGGAAGAGACAGTGATGAGGCCTGGGCTTCCTCTCTACTATCTCACTAGAGTGAGTTCTTGGCAGTCGGATCTCTCATTCTCTCTCTCCCGCTCTCTCCCTCTCCCGCTTGAGACATTTCACTTTATAGAAGCTGGATGGTGATTTTGGTTGTAGCATAGAGGATGCTGTTTAATGATATTTCTGCTGATGGCAGATGATTGAATGAGTTTGAGGGGACTGGCCATTCCTACAGGCAGGACTAACTCTAATGACAGAAAATCATCTCTAGCTCTGATGTCGAGTAAATTCCAAGGCCAGTGTACAGACGACTTCAGTATTTAAATCACCCATGAGGACTTCTGCACTTGGCAGTTTACTCTTGCACTGTTTCCTGGGCATTTTCAGACCATTCAAGTATCATTTGGTGAATTACTCCTTCAGGGCACTAACTGAGAGACTTTGATCTCTCTTTTTTAATCTGCAATTTTTGTATGTAAATTTCAAACCTTAAAAGACAGTTTCCCAGGATGGCATCCAAGAGATCTTATAGCCTGAGGATACTAAAACTATTTCTTGGGAGAAGGATGCAACTAGAGATAAATCTCCAAGTGTCTTTCTCGGTTATTCTCTGGCTACAGGTTTTATGATCAACCCAGGCTGTTGTGAAGAGACCTAAAAATCAATGCCTCTCATTTCTAATGAGATCCTTAATGCCCAACATGATGACAGCCAGTGTGAAATGGAATACTGACAACTCTACCCAGCACAAATATTTTTGCTATGCATTTCAATTTAAACATGTGTCAAGCCAATTACATAGTTATAGGGTTTAAAGACTATTCCACTCAAGCCTGGGAGAGTACACACTCTTCAAATCTCTGTTTAGTGTAAGAGGACTCGGGCACAATAGTCAAACCTCTCGCAGGTCTGTAATAAATCATCTTTGCAACCATAAGCATGTACAGTTGACTGCTTACCACTGCTCCGCAGACCCACCCCCACCTGGAAGAATTTTAATTCCCTCAGTAAAATTGATTCCACCAGTTCTGCACATTATTCTCCCTGTCTTCCATTTAGCCCGTTAGTTTGCTGACAGTAGAGTACACAGCACTTAGCAGCTGGTTTGTGGAGCCATCAGTCAGGAAATTGTATGATAAATAGGAGGTAGCCAGGTTTCGTGGCACTTCCTTCTGCTTCAGCAGTTTTCGCCTGACTTTGGAGAAGTCATCATGTGGTGTTTTGTCAAGGGGCAGGGCAGGAGATGGCTGCGGCCCTGTAACTTATTACACATACGCTTGAGTTATGATGCGTCACAGCTGCGCTGCTCATGTGTAAATAATAAACCGCGAGCCGGGTAATTATGGCGGCTCTGGCGACAGGGGCCTGTTCTTGTCATGTGGGTTTTCTTGGACAGCTTTTTGGGCCAGTGATGGAATATGCCGTTGAGCCACATAGAAACGACAAATCTAGACGCCAGCGAGGCAAGTAGTCAACGTTTGAGGATTCAGGAGCATTTTTCGAGAAACGTGTTAGGATTAATATCATGGGATGCCACGTATGTTACAGGACATGCCCATACTGCTTTTCATTCTTCATTTATCCTGTTAAGCTATAGTCGAGCACGTCTTGAATTGGAAGAGGGGTGTTCCATTGCATTTTCCCAGAAAGTGGCTTAAGAGGTGTGATTTCTACTAATAACCAACACAAGGTATAATTGTCCACACAGACTTCTGCAATCCAGGAGAAGTTATTTTAAATTTAATCAAGAAGGGAAACGTAGAAACAGTGAGACACTTAAACCGAAACCAGATGTCTTTGGTCAAATCAGATCATATCCATTAATTTTCTGTTCTTTATTTAAACATAATTCTTCAATGCAGAATTCATAAATTTTCTTGGGACATAAGTAAACATTTGGTGAAAACAGTGTTATAAGACGCATCACCTACTTTCAGTCAGAATTAACTTTTAAATTCACAGAACACTGTGGACTCAACAGTGAGAAATGAGTACTTAGTACCCCAGTAATTGTGTTTTATGTTTTCCTCTCAAATTTATTGTTGCAGTGCTAGGTCATTTTCTCCTTTATTCTGAAAGCGGGAGAGAGGGCGAGAGAGAGAAAATTTAAATCCTGAAAGAATAATTTCTTGAAAATGAGAAGATGGCAGTGTCTTTTAAATGTGCGTGATAGCATTGTAGGTTTTCCTTGAGGAAGAGAATTTTATACTTGTTGGGTACACGCTTTTGATTTTATAGGATTAACTGGTTGGTCTTCCCTCCATACACATAATCGCTGCAACTTCATTATAAACACTCATATAAAAGATCGTGACTGTTACTTCGGGGGTATATGAGGCATACATTAAATGTGGAATAAATTCACACATTTTGAGCAAAAAACGTGGTTTTGTACGTTGTCATAATTCGTAGTTGCACCCACATAGAGAAAACCAGATACGGTTGACACCCACTTATCTGGTGGAGAGAATTTCATCATGCAGAACGCAGCCAAGAGCCATGAAATAAAGAAGTGAGAATACCTTCCAACTCTGACATAGTTGTCAGTGTCCCTCAAAACAACCGCATAAACTGGTGCATGTGCGATGCCCTGAGGAGGTGGGTAAGACTTTATGAATGCTGAATTCACACCCCATTCTAGTAAGTTTATTTCTCTGATTGCCAAGAGCAGATGATGTGTGTTAAGTAAGAAGTCTGCAGGGGGCGTGCATGTTTGCATCGGCAGCGATAGCTGAAAGGTGTGGAAGAGAAAGAAGAGCCACCCCCATATTTCATGGCCATCCACCCTCAGGTAGATTTGAATCTGATTGATTTGGGTTTATTTAAAAGTTTAAAATCAGTAAACATTCACTAGTATATGTCAGGCTTTCAAACGAGTGCAAAAGATGACCCCACTTGATTTTATGTTGTTTTAAGAAGGATGCACAATTTCCTTTGAAAATGGTTAAATGAGATAGAATGTTGGGCTCTACAGAGGGTGACTTTTTATTGTCAAGATGGCTGAGCTATGTGCAGCAATGAAGCTGCCAACATTGCTGAATAAACATTCAACTTAAACTTTCAAACTTAGCAAATCAACGGTCACAGAAATGACGGTGACAAAGTACAGTGAGTCACTGACATTTTCAGTAAAACAGTCCTCTGGGAAGTTTTCTAGATTCTAGATCTGGTGGTAAACTATAGAATTACAGCTTCAGGTCCTTCCCTGGTAGACCACGGAGCTTCTATGAATGCTATGCTCATCGTTTTTTACTCTTACTGGATTTTTTTCTTCGTAAACAGAGTCTTAGATTCTTGAAGGTAGCAGGGACAAAATCAAAACAAGGGAAGTAATGTACTATAACTTTAAAAACAGGTTTGTTGTGCTTATATTCTAGTAGTTGCTTGTTGAAGAAAATTTGGAAAATAGAGAAATGGATAGGGAAGAAAATCAAAACCACCTGAATTCAACGTTACACACATCTAATAATCATCCACTTCTACCCAGTTGGGACGGTGGTGTTGCCGACCTCAGGGGATGCAGCCGACTTCAGGGGGTGCAGCCACCTCTTAATCTGTGTGTTTGGCATGGCCTCGCAGCCTCCCGCACCCCGTGGGGATGCTCTGTGCATTCTTAGGTGGTCAATCAAAACCTGTCCGCGGAGAGAGGGCCCCCTTTGGAATTGCCTTTAGAGACTGCTACCCTCAGCACCAGGGCGAAATAACTGGAAGCCGTTCTGAGGCTTGTTGGTGTACATATCAATCCTCAGCAGCGTTGGCTCTGGGCAGGCTCCCAGCATGACCAGTGTGGACCTGTCACATTTGAAGAATTTGCTGTCGTGTTTAGTCTCATAGCCATGGATGGAGTCAAACCTCCGGGTTTTGGACCCCTTCATTTTGCTTCTTGAAACTTGTGAAAATCTTGACTCATCAGTCATGCTTCTAATTATAAAATCTGTTAAAACTCTCTTCAGTTTTTACAGTGAATCACTATTTTTTTTTTAAATAAAAGTTTATTTTCAGAGACAATGGGTGTAAGTTACTAGGAATAAGTGGGGTGGGAGAGCTATTTTTAAGGAAGGGCACACACCCAGCAGCTCAGGAACCCAGAGCGTTGGACTGGGGAAAGGCGGAAGCAGGAGGGGACCTGGGTCCAAGATGAATGTTAACACTACCTTGGGAGGAATTCCCTGAGTTTGGCTCTAGATCTCTCGCTGTTGAGTGTGAGTGGGTCAGCTTTATCTCTTCCAGGCAGGCTGCACAGTATTTCTCTGGACAGGACATAGATTTGCTGCCTTTGTGTGGGGACTATGGAGGCCTAGCCCAGGCCAAGAAGGAGGGGAATATGTACTTAATTTTAAAAAATGAAACATACGCATGTGTGTATATATCAGCCACAGATTCTAGAGAGCCTTTCCACTCTTAAAAGTATGGTGAACATGGGAAAAGTGAAACTAGTATTTGTATTACAATGTCTTTGTTTAAAACTTAACTTGACAATGTAGTTTTATTTTTCAAATAAGTGTATTCTAATCTGTTCCCCTTGGCTTCGTGGCTCCCTTCAGCCCTTCTCCTCTGGTCAACCTATCTTTCAAGATAGGGAGCCTGTGTTGTTCCTCTCTTTCTTGCTTTCCTGTCTGGGTTTGAGCTGCAGTCAATCCCAGGCTCTACCTTCTCAGGTAGGTGCAGGCACTACTTACTCAGTCATACTGCTGCAGTACCTCACAGAACCTCTTAACTAACCTTAAAGAGTTCTTCTACAAATTCTTAGATTAAGTGTAAGTAGTGAAGATATAATAGTATAGCAGTGTTGCTTTGTGAATCGGAATGCTATTTGAAAGTGTTCATTTGATATAGATTGGGCTCCCTCTTTTTTTCAGACCCTCCTCATCTTTTCCCTGCCTTCCATCCTCCTGTACCAATTGATGCCAGACATCATGAGGGCCGTTACCATTATGATCCGTCTCCGATTCCTCCATTGCATATGTAAGTATTAACACTTTCCTTGTTAATGAAATGGAACGAGATACTGGCTTTTACCATCTCAGGACTTTTTGTTAATGGCACGACCACTGGGCTTTGAAGATGTGATAGAAGTGTAAGATTTACTTTTGAAATATAGCAAGCCTATCTGTTCGTGGATTCACTGAAGCAAATCCCTGCTGTTTCCTGAGGAATGCCTGTCACAGCAGGTAGTCGACAAGTATTTCCTATATATTTTGCTGACGTGTGTTCTGTGGGCTGTAAATACTAAATTAAAAAGTAAAAGCCTAATGGAAAGTTACCACTCAGAATATGTATTTGGTCGACATTAGGTTTGAAGTTTTTTATGTTCAAATTTCTGTAACATGAAAGTCCTGTTCTGGGGATCACGAGGAATTGTAATGAAATTTTTATGGTAAATTTTCATAGCCCCTATGTAAGTACACCAAAAGTCACTTGATTGATGGGAATGTCACCCAAACAAAATGGCAAATGTGATCGAGCACATGGTTTACAGAAAGATAAAAGGAAAGAATGCTAGTGATAACATACATTAGAAAAGGAAAAAGGAAATCTCTTGGAAATAAATACCATCTAACTTGGTTTGGAGGAAATAAAGGATGGTGGAGTTGCAAAGTAAAACAGTATTCTTTTGTAGTACTGTCCAGGAAACTGTCATGTACTATAATAATGGGAGCCACTCTCTGGGATGGGCTGTCCCTTGCTAACGGGCTTGATATATACATTTAGTCATATCTAATAATCACCCTTTATTTGGAGACAGTAAAGTTAGAAAAGCACAAATAATACTTTGAAGAATAATGCTGGTTATTCAGATGGTAGATTGCATCTCCATGGCTATTAGTTACAGCTGTGTAATTACATATTATGCCAAAGAAAAATGAAGTTGTTTTAAAACAAGTCCTCCTCTGTGAACAGAATTAATTGATATTAACAATCCTAACTACATGCCCAAGTACACATATAATATTTTACCAACAGTTTTTTGGATCCATCTCCCATTACTGAATTGTAATTTCAGAGCAGATTTGCCTGGAGGTAAGTAATAAATCTGTGTTGCAGACTTCTATAAGCATTAAAGGAGAAGTGGGTATTTATAGAGAGAGAATGCAGAAACTTGTGACTTATTCTTTGACTTTTCACTGGAACACAAGTAAGTATTTACAGGGTTCTGAAGCCTGCTAAAAATACCCTCTAATGAAACCAGGAGGCCAATTTAAAATTCCCTATACAAAGGGAAGGAAATTCCTAGTTCAGCGTGAAACATGACATGTAATTCACCCCGTTATACAGAGGTTTTATGGTACAGATGTGACCACATGGATCTCAGATGCGGATCTGCCCCATGGTTCAGCGCATGCAAGGACCAGATAGGCCTTGGAGACATGGATCGCTAATTCCTCCCAGACTGGAGCCTTTGTGATGTAGTTAATTTAGGTCAGATTTTCTATGGAATTTTGGAGTTCTTCATTCTTTCAGAAATGATGTTCTAGAGCAATTTTTAAAAACGAGTTTATATTACTCCTCTGCATTCATTATAGTTTGCCTTGTAAATAAATGCAATTATCAATAAAAATCCCAAGTCTCTGTTCTATGGCAGAATATAACAGTAAGCCCTCCTCTAGCCCCCACTGTGTGTTCTAGGCCCTGCTTACTGAACTGCATTGGCCCATGGTGATAACATCACAAGACAAGATGGGTCACTTCTGGACCATCCTCATAGGCAGATTTGGGGGAGTCACATTTCAGGTGTACTATTGAGCTGGGTTTTCTTTGGATTTTAGTTCTTCCTGCTTTTTTTAGCCAAGCTTTGGATACTTTAGTAGCATCTGACTAAATCGTTCTCTAGCAGCCTAAATGTGTAGTTATCAAAAAGATTGATAATATAAAGCCGGTAGATAATCCTGAGCCTCAAAAGAGAAGTCCTGGAAGATTCCAAGAGGGAATATCATTGCTGCGGGCACAGAGAATGGTGAGCTTATGGGTTTGTTGGCTCCTGGGACTGCCTGGTTTTGGTGTGTCCTGGCAGGGCCCTGGGTGGATACTATGCTTATGAAGTGGGCCCCAGAAAGCTGGAGCATGTCACGCACCTGTGTATTTGTGACCGACATTCTCTCTGCATTGGTCTCATTGGCCTTCCCTCTCTGCATGGTGAACTCCTGCTTATACTCATCCTCAAGGCCCCTAATTTAAGGGCCGTCCCAGAGACTGTTTTTGTAGCACCTTGCGTGTAGCTTTATTGTGATGCTTTTCCTCTTACTTGGTGATTTACTGTTAACAGTCACTGCTCCCTGCTAGTTTCGTAGGCAGTGCCCAGCACTTGGTCAGGCACTTTATAAAAGATACTCAGTGGACACTCACATTGGCCCAGTCTGAGAGATGGTGGAGGAGCAGTCAGAGAGCTCGAATTCCTGTTCTTGTGTTGCCACTCACTTGTGCTGTGGACTCTGGCCACTGACCTTTGCATGTGTTGGTTTCATTACATGGAGATGAAGCTGTCTGCTGTACCCAGCTCTTCAGATCACAGGGAGAGTTCAATGAAATAATGTTCATGTAAGCACTCTGAAAAGCACAGAGCTCTAAACAAATGCTGAAAGTGGGCATTCCAGGCAGTGGGGGGGCATGAAAAATACTGGGAGTTTCTATTCTGCCCTTGCTCAGTTGTGAGTCCCTGGGTTGCTCTTGCACCTTCTGAGGTAGACTCAGAAGTAGACTCCTGTGATCACCTTGAAAGTGGAGGCTAATCGAGGCAAATGTGGCTTGATTATAGAAATCTTGAAAGCATGTATTTGCTGAGGGGTGAATCAGTTACCTAGGAAAGTAAAATCATTTCATCCAAAACTTGAATTCCAAACTGTTTGCTATATAATTGTCTTATGGAAAATGAGATCAAGTGAAGTGTACTAAACTTTTGCAATAAATATTTTTAATTATAAGAAGACAAAATTTGGAGATATTCTCATTTTGTACACCCAATTGTTCTTCTGGTGCCAGCTTTAAGAACTAAATTACGAGTCTCCTAAAAACAAGTATTTCTGTTGATGGAAATGCCGACAGATCTCTGTTTAGAAGAAGAGCAGGCGCTTCTGTAATTATGCTATCATATCCTATCATTAAAGATTCTATTGAAAGAGGTTTATAAATTGCTCCTCTTTTTAGATAAACCACCCTATATTAAGGCATCAACGATATGGTGTAGAATTAAATTAAAATCTCATAAAATGAAATATGTTTCGTATTAGCTGTTTGACACTTAATTTGCCTCTGAATGAGTAGAGGAAATCACAAATTAACCTGCCTTTGTTTTTCCAACCATGGCTTATTAGGTGTTAGAACAACTGCAATTACAGACTAATAATAACCACTAAGCCTTATAAATATGTACGGAAATACGTCAGTCTGTGTTAAAGAACCCAGTTTGTTAAATGGAATACCTTCAGTTTGCCCTGCTTATTCTTACAGTGTTACCCACAGTTTATGGTTAGGCAGTGTAGAAGGAGTACAGAAACTTGAATGAATTCAAATACAGCACTAGAAATAATTTATACTTTATTGGCATTTTGTTTCTTAACTTAAAATTATGAATTTAGACTCAGAACTTCTAAGTAGGACCTGGAATATAAGTAGTATTATTCTCTGAGTTGTCACGTAAAGGTTGTTATAAAATGTACAATTTCTGCATTGTATTTGTTTAATTCAAGTAATTTGAAAATTAAGAAACACTGGATATGAGGAATCTTCCCGTTTCGGAAGCAAAGTTATTCTCCACTGAATTCACCAGGTCTTAGGCCCCATAAACAACTGGAATGTTGCTCTGTCTCTCCCTCTCTCTCAAATCCTTTGAGAGACTTATCAAGCTAGATTGCAAGAAGTATAATGTTTTAGAAAAAACATCAGAGTGAGTCTACTTTATTACTGAGATTATTTTGTGCACTAATGAAAAAACCTGAGTCTGTACACACATAGTCGTATTTTATGTATATATTTTTACTTCTTGGTCTCCTCTGTATTTCCTGCCTTGCATTGTTGACATCAGGGCTTTTCTTTCCGTAACTGTGGAGACACTATTCCATTTTATGGGAACAAATGATGCCTGCTAGGCTAAAAATAAGTACTAATTTTTAAAATTTCACTTGGGAATGTAGGCAATTGGTATATTACAGCCTCCTACCCCAGAATACAATTGCATTGTCAAGTGACTTACTTTCCACAGTAATAATTAAAGTATTTTCTCTCTTGCATTTTGAGGGTGTGTTTTTTGTTTTTTAGTGTTAGAACTCAATTAAGCATGCTTCCTTTTTAAAAGTAGGCACGGTGTATTTGTAGAAATCCAAATTATAAAGTAGCTTTAAATTCCAATTTGATTTCATTCATTTTGGATTTTTCTTGGGAAAAAGAAATTTAGCCCTTACGTACAACCTTTCTGAGCCAAGGTTTTCTAATTTATGGACCAGTATGAATTGAATTTCGAACTGTCTTTATGTTTCATACTGAGATCTGTAATTCATTTTCCAAAGCTGGGTCCTTGGTTACTAATCCATTGCAATAATTAAGCCCCACCGATCTTCTTGCCAGTCGAGCTGTGAGCTGCTCTTGCTTTGTGCCGTGGAGTACTGCACCCCAAGCCAGCTCACATAGAGGCTGTTGCATTTCACCATCCACTTTACTAATCCACTTTCGAAAACTAGCTTTTCTGTCTTAGGGAAAATGAGCACTCACGTTCTGTTCCGTACGTCAGCCTTTTTTTTTTTTTCTTTGTTGAGTCAATGTGGCTCTTTCCAAGGCTGCCTGACACTCTCTGGAATCGTTCCACCTAAGAAAGGAGAGCTGTTCTTCCCACTAAAAGTGGCCCACCTCCCTTCACCTTGGGGAAAGGACTCTGTACATGAAGATCATTAATATCAGCTGTGAAATAGAGTGCACTGGAAATAGGTAAGGCCTCGCCCCCGTAATTATGGCTGCCTGTTAGGGATGAGAGCAGG